CAGGTCCCTTCTGACCCTAGAAACTATGAAACTATGACCTGAACCTGTTCAGCCTCAGAAGAGGAGACTGCGGGGGGACCTGGTGGCTTCCTACAAACAGATCAGGGGAGATCAACAGCAAATAAGAGAAGAGTCCTATTCTCCCCAGTTCCACCTGGGGTGACAAGGAACAATGGTAATAAGCTGATGGAAAATAGGTTTAGATTAGAGACCAGAAGGCAATATTTTACAGTTAGGGTGGCCAGAATATGGAAGCAACTTCCCAGGGAAGTGGTCCTCACCCCTACCTTGGATAAATTCAAAAAAAGGTTAGATGATCACCTGTCTGGGGTCTTGTGAACCCAGCATTCATTCCTGCCTGTGGCAGGGGGTCAGGCTGGATGATCTGTTCAGGTCCCTCATGACCCCAGCTACTATGAAACTATGAAGAACTGCTGCAGTACAAAAAGAAAATCCCCATGAATCACACACCACTAGTTATGACATAGCATCCCTCCCTGGAACCTATACAGAAAATCCTTACACAATTGCAACCCGTACTAGAAGACGACCCAATTCTTAAAGAAATCTTCCCAGAACCACCCATGTTAACATTTAAACAAACACTGAAACTCACCAATCTCATCACCAGAAGCAAAATTCCTACAGCCTAAAACACACTGAATGGATCCAGACTATGCAATGACAAGAAATGTAAAACCTGCCAAGACATCTCCACCACTCCCAGAATATCTCATCCAGTGCACAAAAAACCCTGGTGAAAAATATGTAGAGAAACAAAAGAACAACTGCATACCAGAATGAACACACACCAAAAATCTATGAAAGACGAAAAATACCCAATTACCTGTGAGTGCATATTTCTCACAAGATAACCACTCCCTCTCCAACCTCTCAGTTCTAATCCTCAAAGGGAATTTACAAAACACCTTTCACAGATAAGCCTAAGAACTTCACTTCATCAATCTACTGGATACAAAAAATGATGGTCTAAATATAGAGCTTGGATTTATGACGCATTATAAGTTGCTTAACTTCTGATACCCCAGGTAACTTCTCTACAGCTTACCAGCTACATTCCACCAGCAGATCACCATTTCCCTTTCCCCCCTTCCCACCTCTCTCATGCATTGTTTCTCACCCACTCTGACCCTCACTGCTAGGCATTTGCATTTTAACTGACCTGCATTCTGGCTTCCATCTCATCCAGGAGAGCACAAAACAACTGCAGATGGTCCCTCTGCCTGAAGAAAGGTGTTTCTATCTGAAAGCTTGCAAAGAAGAATTTTTCCAACTATTTTAGCTGGTCTAATAAAATATATCAGATTTACCCAAAGAACCTTGTCTGGAAGTCACAAAGTGATTCTTCCACTCTGATCAGCCCTGGAGAAGCCTCACCTGGAGCACTGTGCCCAGTTACAGGCACTGTACTTTGAGAAACTGTACTTGGACAAACTGGGAAAAGCCCCAAGGAAAACAACAAAAATGATTAGAGATGTGAAAGAATGATGAACAAGGAAAAGTTAGAAGAACTTAAGCTGTTTAGTTTGGAGAAGAGGAGGCTGAGTGGGGATTTGATTACAGTTTTCAGATGCATGAAGGGTAGTTATAAGTTATATGGCAATCAGCTGTTCCTTTTTGTCCATTGGGAACAGGGCAAGCAATAACTATCTTAAATTGCAACAAGGGAATTAAGAACAACTTTCTAACTCAGATAGTGATAACTGGAGGAACAGATTAACTAGAGAGGTTAAGTGCAAACTAGATAAATATTTGTCTTGCGTGCTTTAGAAAGGCATGTTTCTGCCTGGAGCAGGGACTTAAACCAAACTTATCTCCCTGGTTCCCTTCCAGACCTATAGTTCCAAGATTTTATGATTCTATGATCAAAGAAAGTGTAGAGGAAGGAATCAGAAATAACCAGGCCAAGATGGTAGTATTGCCAGCAGTAAAAGAAAAGTGGGGAAACTAAGAAGGTTTGGGAAGGAAGACAAGGAGTTCTGCTTTGATTATGCACTGCTTAAAATGACAAGTCACCCAGGAGATATCAGAAAGCCAGGTTGAGATGCATTGATGGATGAAGAGGAGACAGTGTAATGATTTATTTGCAAGTCACCAGCATGAAGATAACATAGCTCACCTCATATTAAGCAATGTTTCACTTACCAAATCTCTCAGTTCCCCCTGCATGTCTTGGAGTTTCCCTTTAACACGTAGATTTGCATTTTCAACCAGGTGCACCTTTGCATTTAATTGGTCAATTGTTTCAAAAAGTTTCCCCTGTGACAGCTCCAGCTCTTTTGCTCTATGGTATTGAAAGTTAAAATGTTGCTCAATCACCAGCATGCAATATTGTTTCAAAATAGATAATCAGGCATCATTAGTTTGTCCAGATTCAATTTCCAGTTGTTTTTCTCTCAGTAATAATAAATAATCACTAGGTATTAATATATGATCATCATAATCAACATCTAATTAATAACAGCATTCATGTGTAGATATTATTATTATTTTTTTTTTTTAGAGACTCTCAAAATCCTCTTAAAGGCACTATTTAGTTGTATATAGCCAGGCCGCAGTCCTGTATCATAGCTAGGCTCCCTGGAAAGATTTTGCTAGACCCCAGACCATCAGCAGGGAGTGTTATTGAGTAACAGTAGTATCATATATGGCTGCCATGACTTAGGCTGACTTAAATGGTTAACATAGGATATGGGTAAATATATACTTATAGGGTCTTAAAGATAATGCAATATCTTGTACATTGTAACTGGGATGTGTGCATGACTCGGTAGCTAAATCACTCCAGCTTTGACCCAAAATAAAGCAGGGTTGAAGTTGGAGCAGTTTTGCTCCCCATATCTCTACAGGCTCATGCTTGTGTAACAGTTACATCTAACAGCAGCTCCCTGGTGCAGAGCAGTAGCTCTCCTTGACTTCTGAAGCTGCCACAAACATACTTTTATCCACATACTTCTCTGTAACACTTTTTGCAAAACATCTCTTATAGTGAATGTTAAAGTCTATTAGGTACTGGCTTTTGGCAATAAGAGAATTAGCACAAAACAGTCTCTTTTCCCTCTTACCACCAAAAACACACCATCATCCCAGTAGCCTAGAATCACACTTGAGCTCCTCCCCTCCTCTTCCCACACTCACCCAAGACACGTCTAAGCCTTCTCCACAATTTAAATATTTCTGAAACACAAGTTTTTCTCTTTATGTTAATGACAAAACGTTCATTTTTTTAAGTCCACGAGCAACTCCTATTTTGATTGCTGTAATCTTCTATGCTCGTCTCATTCCTACCCACAGTGACCTACCTCCATCTTAAATCTAGTCTCCTTGCCCTGAAGTCTTACAATGATTCCCTTCAATGACCTCTGCTCTGTCTCCCCCCATTCTCCTCCTTCTCACTGTCTTCTCAGTATGTTTTATTACACTGCCCACTATGTGTCAGCTGTCCTTTCCATAACATTATACCAGGCCACCAATCTCTACTTATCCAACCATGTCTTTTTAAAAAATTTCTGCTTGTTCCAGAAGGCAAATGATTACAATAATTATGTGCTCAGTTCTCAAAGAAAACAAAATCATAGAAAGTCTTCCCCTTATAGTTAAAAGTAAAAACACATGCATGTACCTGTTTCTTAGTACACAATCTGAATTCATGTAGTCCTCTAAAATGTGCCTCAGTTTTTCCTCCGATTTTTCCAGCTGTTTTATTCTGAGGTTCAAGGTCTCTACTTCAGCACTGTTTGCTTCTCCTTCAGACTCCATTGCATATGTATCCTTTGCAGCTTCGAAATCCTGGAAAATCCAGGAAGTGTCAATTTTAACATTAAGATTTAGAACATCAAATGCTTCATTATGCGGTGCTTTAATACAATAACAAAACTCTTCTCCTCTTTCCAGTAAAGGATCCATGATATATATATATATTGCTTAAGTTATGCCATATGTAATCCAAATGTCTTTCTTAAGATGTTTATGTGCTCGTCTTAGCTTCTGTGGTAATCAAATGAGCATCCTTTGCCGATACAGAATGCATCTCTATTATTCATGAGAGGCATGCATATTTCATTAGTCCCAAATCATTTAGTATGTATGAAGAGTCTCAGTTTACAGCATGAGAACTACATAAAAAACGTTACGAAGCCAATTTATGGAGGAATGATGGTTCACACTTGGGGCTTGAAATGTGCATAATATTCTAGTAAACAAAGATAATGACAAAAAAATTAAGAATTTTTATGCCTTTACAAAAGGTCTCCCACTCTTAGCACAACTATATCGTTCTTTCGATTGTCTCAATGCAGAAAATAGGGTTAAGAGAAAGAATTTTACTTGTTCTAATGCAAGCTATGAATATTTAAGAGAACTATTCAGAATCTTTAAGTGACATGTTGGAATGCTAATGCAGTGCAGTTAGAAGCTTGCAAGTCTATTTCCATTCCAGTCTTTTATGGAATTATGGCCCAAAGCATTTTCCAAACACAACATTACAATAGAGATAAAGTGACTTGTACATAACCAGAAAAGCAGAGGTTTAAGGCTTCTGGTAACTTAAAACAACACCTCTTTCCAAAATGGAAGGATGAAGAATAATATGAAAAGATTCATGCACTAAGTTAATTACTTAGTAACTTTTTACCTTCATATCATAAGTACTGCATTTGGAAAAGAAAGGAAGATATTTGTATTACAATAATGCCTAGAAGCCTCACTACTCTAGAATGATGTACAAGCACAGATGAATGAAGTATGTCCTGTCCTAAAGATTTTATAATCTAAACAGTATTTAATCTCTAAATTTATGTCCAGTAGAGCTCCATATGGAGATAATTTTCAGACAAAAGAAGAAACCTAAACTGAATGTCCTGAGTCTAATCTGAGCAATCAGCAGTAGAGTTCACAGGAATAATGATTTTATATCTTTAGTAGCCAAATAGCCATCAAGAATGATTGGGGGGGAGGGAGAGGGAGGGAAAGAAGCAGGTGGGGATCGAGCCCCATACCCCGCCCTGTCCAGACCTGCTCCCCCCTTCCCTCCTGCTGCTTGGGGTCCGGGCTGTTTCCCCCCCGCCGCCCACTGCAGTGGCGGGGGGAAGGGAGGAGTGGGTCCAGGCCTGATGTGGGGGAGGACCAGGCCCAAGGGTGGGGAGAAGCTTGGCCATGGGGGGTGAGCAGCAGGCCCAGGCCAAAACCAGCAGCAGTGGGGGGGGGGGA